GCGCATCTTGAAAGGTGTCCCAAGTTTCTCACCTCGTACACAGAAGCATATCATCATTGCTTGCATGGCATTGCACAATTTCATTCGTGATAGCAAGTTGCGTGACAAAGTTTTTGATAAATGTGATGCCGATGATGAGTATGTACCTCCAGTGCTACGAAAGGAGCTGGCGCCAACACAAGCGGATCCCGTTGAAGACGAGGAGAACGAAGATAGCATGAACAATATTCGTAGTAGGATAGCTGATGCTTCTCTTGCGATGGCAAGATAAATTAGTTATGTCGATGAAAGCCATCATCATGTCAACCATATGTGTTTTGTTTATGCCCCATGTCTTCCATAATAATATTATGGCGTAACTATCTGTTTGGATATATGAAACGTCAAAGCATAATCGTTAAATTGCATGTGTGTTACCTATGAATCGTCTTAATTGTCATAATTTTCGTTTGCAAAATGGACGTTCAATTGCCTACCATGTACGTATCACTGCTCTACGGTCAACTACCAAATTAACATATTTTACTATGGCCTAAGGGGCATTATAGAACATTCACAACCAAATCTACAGTTTCACAGTTGTTTCAACCAAACGGCTTCCAGCTTTTCCACAGCAGAAAGTTCACAGCAGCTTTTTCACAGCTCACAGCTCACAGCAGCTTTTACAGAATCTGCAGCTCAACCAAACACAGCCTAAGTACGCATGGCAGTCGATTATGGATAGAATCAGCCTTCTTGGAGAGGCGCATCAGTTACGCACACACGCGAGGCACGGTCTCGGCCGCCGCCGCCGGATGCACAGATGGATAGCCTCTTCAGCTCGCGACCGCCTGAACCAGCTGAACTACGGCGGAGGAGGGACGGCCAGCGAGCATTAACCCTGCAATCCCTGCAATTTTAGCCAGAGACGCCCCATCGACGATTCGACAAGTTGATTCTAGATAAGGTATTTTGCCCTAGCGATTTTGCTTTTCCTACGATAATTAATACAAATTATAAATGATAATCAATATTCCCTCTTCATTATTTCATAGGGCATTGATAAGTGATTGATTGGGCAGGGGTACCGTCAATTTTAGAGGCTTTGATATTGAAATCAATGGATAATTAATAAGAATTCTGACAAGATAAGTGATTGGATCACGGCTGTTCTTTGCAATGTCCTATGGAACACTAAAATGCAAGTACTAGTCTAGGAAAGAAACTAGTCCATGATTATGGTTAACCTATTTTTTCTAAATACAATGGATTTGATAGCACTTCCAATTTAGTGAGTAAAATCATTTCGAGAGAATTCCTTATTTGACCCTTTCTTAAAATTTGCTTCCTTTTTTGGCCCTCAAAAATATAATTTTCTTTTTTTGACTCGTAAATTTTGTTTTGTTCCCTCCATGACACTTATGTCAGTTTTGACCACCAACACCGTGAAGTGCTACATGAAAAGTCGTTTTTACCCCTGCTTTAGCTCATTGTTCTCTCTCGACTACGGTGCGGTAGTTGTACGAGGCAAACGGTGGAGGCACGAGGCTGAGAGAGTGATGGTGCGATATATCGGAGTGCAAGACCAATGCTGTTGCTGCGGATTGACGGCGGACGGCGGCCTGTGCAGCGCGGCGTCCGGCGGCCATGGAGGAAAGGTGGAGGAAGGTCATGGCGGGGCAGCGGCCTTGGGCCGTATGGTATAGGCGTCGGGCGGCCATGCAGGGCCAGGGGCGACGGAGGAGGGCCACAGACCTGCAGCAGCCATAGACGGCCATGGTAGCGCAGCGGAGAAGGGTCGTGCGTTCTCGGCCTCGACGGCCATGGTGGCGCAGTGGCAGAGAAGGGTCTTCATGCTCGTCGTCGTGCATGTTTTTAGTGGTAGGGCATGCAACACGTGTGCTTTCGTGTGCGTGTGTGATGTGCGCTAGTCTGTGTGCTGCCGCGTGTCGTGCGTGCGTGATGCGTGCTTGTGTGTGTTGCAGCTCGCGCTGGGTGCGCATGCTGCTACTGTTGTATTTTTAGTGTGTGTGGGTGTGTGACGTGACAAGACAAGCTGCTCACCTGTGTATTCTGGGAGCCGAGTTGTTGACGTAGAGACATCAGGGAGCAGCGCCGACCGCGGACTCTGTCTTGGCGGCCGCTGGCCACGCCGAGGGATCCGAAGATGTGATATATGAACTCGAGCATGATTTGCTTCATATCCGTTACGCGGTGGTAAAATTGTAGATTTTTTTCATTTGCTCTTGTAGTCAAGACAGAACATATCACATTACCACTGCTTTTGACTTGCAAGTAACTTTGCTCCCATAGTACACCAGGGGTAAAATGGTATTTTTCACATTAGACTTAACATTGTGAAGTGCCAAAACTGAAGGAAGTGTCATGAAGGGAACAAAATGAAAATTGAGTGTCAAAAAAGGAATATATATATATATATATATATATATATATATATATATATATATATATATATTTTTAAGGGCCAAAAGGGAAGCAAATTTTAAGAAAGGACCAAATAAGGATTTCTCTCAATCATTTCATTGGGTGTTGAAAGCAAGATTGAATATTCGGATCAACAGGAAGCAGGAAAGACCTTTAAAAAACAGAACTATGAGATCGATCCCAGAGGCAACGCTCTAAGGGGCCCTGACCTCTAATTTCGCCCCGGACCCCTAAAATTATAAGATCGGCCCTGTATAAGAGCACTACTACACAGACGACGACGTACATTTGTCCAGCCAAACTTGGACGACATGCCCATCGCACCATCCATGGGCAAGTTACAGTAGCATGCGGTGAGATTAGCTATCGTTCATGTGTCGTTCAGCAAATCATCATCCTTGAAGTAATTCCCCCACTGTAATGATGTCAGGGTAACTTGAGATGCTGAATTTCTTACTGCTCAATCCGAGTGGTAGTCTCTAAGAAAACATTCTTGGTTATTGAAAAGGAAGATTCACGATCATCTCTCCCTAATAATAAAGCACGGAGTGAATCAGTCGGGTTCACCGTCGCGCCGCTTTTGTAAAAAAGCTCTTGTGTTTTTTGATAATTGAACCCGCAGTACTTTTTTAAGTGGATATTTCTGAGAAAATGTTTCGTTTTTATAAAAAGAACCCTGCGTTGCTCTCGTTTTGGGGCTGCTTGATGCAGAACGTCGGCGGCGGCTGAAGCTTGCAGGGGCCGAATACGTGCACGACAGGGGCTGGGGAGGCTGATCCGGAGACGGGTGGCGAGGCGGGGGTCGCCGGTGACGACGAGGAAGGCCGGAGCGCGGCTTCCCGGACTGATCCATGGCATCCGCCGCTCCTGGGCAGAAAGGGGACAGGGAGGTGAGGGAGAGAAGTGAGGAAGGAGGGGTGGTGCGGCAACGTGAGGTCAGACGAGGCTGCGGTGGCGCGGTGCAGGGGACAGCCGCGGCAGTGGTGGCCATGCGCATCATGGGGACGGAGGCGAGCGGCTTGGCCATGGTGCCGCGATGAAGCAGGAGAGGAGGAGCACTGAGGTGAGGCGAGGAAGAGCGAGGCCGGCGGCTGTGCAACCTCGCCGAGGTGGGGCGGAACCGGCCAGTGCCGGGGATTGGGCGCGCGCGTGGGGCGCCTCCCCTGACGGCGCGAGGTGGGAGAAAGGAATCGAGGCTGTCCAGGGAATCGATTGGATTGCTTTTTTTTAGAACGGAATGGATTACCTTTTTTTTTGAGTAGCAGAACAAATTGGATTGCTAGGTTACGTTAAGGTGTGGCTGGGCTGGACCTAAGGCCGAATGGGCGGCCAGTTTAGATATTGCGCTGCTGTTTCCCTCTCTCTCTCTCTCTCCCCTAATTTTCACATTTTCTCTGTTTATTAAATATAGATAGATAAAGAGTAAAAACGAGAGAGGATTAGGAATGGGGTTTTGGCAAGGTGCTATTTTTTCTGGACTCACAAAAATGTGCTTATTCCAAGAAAATTAGAAGTGCACAATACAAGGTTTAAATTCAAACACATTTGAATTTATTCAAATAGGTTAGAACTAGGACAAGGTTTTAGAAGTGTACAAATATGTTAAAATTTTTGGTGGACCTTGGTAAAGTAATAAAATGGTGATTGGGAAAGTTTGGGGACAAAACTTGAAGTATAAAAATGCATTTGATTTTTTGAAAACCTCAAAAAGGAATTTGGAAAAGCAATTGTATAAAATGGAAGGAAAGATCAAATGATTTTCTGAAAAAGTTCATAGTTTTTAATTTGGTGTGAAGCATTATAAATGGCATGATGAAATCAAAATGCATAAAATAAAATAAGAAAACATTATAAAATATGCAAGTTAGTGGAAGGTAGGGAATTTATAGGTTAAAAGATCAAAAATAAAACAAGGGTGGAATTATAGGTAGGTGATGTGTCGTGCTGGCAGGGAGAAGCATGTCTCTCGCACTCGTCTCATGAGGAGGACTCGAAGTCTGGCGTAAAGCAGGCCATTGTCCTCGGTGCCCCTCCAATAATATTGGATCCCCGTGTCCTAGCATCTCACCACTCCACTGAGTCAAGGCCGAGTTTAGGTTGCTTGAGCGGAGTATGATTTAATTCGTAACCATGTGCAGTTCTGTCTGGTTTGATTTCACCATTTTAGGTCATGAAACAAACATGTATTGGATGGATAAAGGCAACGTGCATGACTCATAAACATAGGTCAAGCAGAGTCTATCAATTCCTTGATATTACGACCATGTCTACACAAGTCTAGACTCGAGACAGTCAAAATCTTCATGCACTCAACACTCATTGTACTGAGTTTTTTTTAACAACTCACTCTTTGTACTAAGTTTTTTAGCAATACTCATTGTAATATGTGGTCAATACATATTTTTGTTACCCCGTTGCAACGCACAGGCCCTTTTGCTAGTGATAACTAACAAAAACAATGAGTAGGTCATAACTAACAATTCACACGTCGCGACACTGCCAGGTTCTTATTATATATCATCAGCTGATAAAACTAGTACCGTACGTCAACAGGTAGCTAGCTCGTCTGCCACTAGCTAGTGTTTGGGGAAATGATAGGCGATGGGTGCATAGATGGATTGCAGCAACTGACAGATGGCCAGGAAGGCGGTAATACCGAATGCGACTTGGTGCAAAGTAGTGCTGCAGTACTTGTGGCGGAACGATCCCCTGAGGTTACGCGCCTTGCTGTCGCATAATTTTTCCAGGTCGTGCCACATGGGCTTGAGGTAGTTCCTGTCAATGTTGTCGACGTCCATGACCACCCCCTTGCAGAGGTTGGCAAAGCCTTGGGCGGCAATCTTGTCGCTGCTCTCGAAGTGTTGGATGATCTTTGCATCAACCAGGAGCCGGACGTCCTCCACCGTACACGCCACCTGCGACATGAAGAGGCAGTAGGCCGTGACGGGCCTCTGGGTCATCTCCGCATGCTCCTCCAGCGCCATCATGTTACGTAGGAGCGTCCAGGTCTTGCCGTCGACCTGCAGGCAGGGGATGTCCAGCTTGCCCCCTTTAAGGCGCACGTCGAGGATCGAAGTCACATCGGCCGCGAAGTCCCGACGCCTGAACTGCACGTTGGCTTGCGTGCAGTACTCCGTCGCCCGACGCCATCGACCCGTGTCGCCCTCACGCTCACGCTCACCATTTGGCTGCAAACAGCTGGTTGGGCTCAAGTACGCGTGCACTCGGTGCAGCAGCTGGTATGGGCGCTCTGGAGGATCTACCATTTGTCCATTGGTTGGACGGAAGAATGTGTGCACCAGGTGTAGCAGGTGGGATGGCGGCTCCGACAGCCTCTTCTTCTCTGTGCTGATGTGGCCCTCCCTGCTCAGCAGACTCTTGATATATGTTGCCATGTAGTGGAGTAGAGAACTGGAACCTCCTGTGGCCCGCGCGTGAATCTTGTCAAGAACAAAGAATGGCACCTGGTTCTCAATGAGGTAAAGGGTGTCGCGAAACACCGCGTTGTAGTCGTTACAGGATGTTTGAGGGACGCCCGGATAGTTCCCCAACCAACCCAGCAGGTAGCACCCATCATGCAGCAGCATCCTCGCCAGCTCTTCCGAGGTCATGCGGTCGACCCCGTCCCCGTACCAGTCCCTTGCTCGGGGCTCCAGTTCCTCCACTAGACCCTTGAGGCCACCATCATTGTGTTTCTCAGAGAGATTTTGCATGAAGCCCACGTATCGCTGCTTCTCTTTTTGAACCCATGGAGTTGACGGACATTTGCCATGGTAAGGGCCGATCGGCACGTTGTGTGGCGTGTAGCTGTCTTCGTCAGCGCTACGGAGCTGCTCACGAACTTTGGGAACATTCCCGGACCTCGTCTTATCTTTGGCCACCACTTGTTTCCCTGCCTCCAAGTCCAAGTTCAGATTCAAGGCTCCTGCACCAACATGCCATAATTAATCAGCTCGAAATGCACACCCGTAACCGTATGTGATCTGGTCAATAATGACTTCATCGTATACTCCCTCTGTGAAGAAACATAAAAGTGTTTAGATCACTGGAGTAGTTAATAATTAAATTTATAAAATGGCATGCTCTCAAAATGGTAAAATTGACATGCTACTTTATATAACCGCCATCCTCTAGGTAAAAAGA